CCCCACCCCACGGCACTCACCCGCGCAGGCTCTTCCCACAACCCTGTCGTCCTCCTTCCAGTCTCCCTTGCGCACCGGGCGGACCCAGCCCCAGCCCTGGGGGGCGGTCAGGAGAGGAAGTGAGTATCTCTGTGCCACACGCTCACGCAGAAAACAAGCCCGGTCCGAGTAACAATCCCCCCGCGCCCCTCCAGGGAGCGGGACCCCAAGTACAGCGAGAAGGACTCGCAGCAGCGGGAGCGCGAGCGAGCGCGTCGGAGACGTCGGTCCTACTCGCCCATGAGGAAGCGCCGGAGAGACTCCCCGAGCCACCTAGAGGCCCGGAGGATTACAAGGTGAGGCCAGGGGACCAGGAAACTCATCTTCACCATCGTTCCCACTCCCATCGCTATTCGTTCGGACTTCAGGCGCCCCCCCCGGGGGGGCTTCCTGGGAGCTGGGATTTCAGGACTGTGGGAGTTCAGAGACCCCCTACCACCCAAACCATTGGGATTTTATTTCTGCTCGAAGCCGCGGGGGCCTGCAAGAAAGGGGTGAGGCAGTGGGCGAGGTTGGGGTGGGGCCAACCTGAGGAATGGGAGTGGTGGCCAGAGCCAGGAAATGAAACTGAGGTCTGAGAGGCGGGACTGGGGACGAGAATGGGGTCGAAAGCAATGGGACAGGTGATGATGGATCCCCGACAGTGGAGACAGACCTTCACCCTCAGAGCACACAGTCCAATGTCAAGCTTAAATTGACCTATATGCAGTGATACCTTGAACCAAGTGTGGATTGGGAAAACAGGATTACTTAGGTGCCAAAGGGACCTAGAAGGAGCTATGTGGATAACGGGGAGAGCACTGGACGTGGAGTGGAATCCTGGCTGTACCACTTTCCAGGTGACCTGGGGAAGCCTCTTACCTCCCTGAGCCTCAGTTTTCTCACCCATGAAATAATGGAGGAAATAGCTCCCAGGAATTTGAGGATGCAATAAAAAGGACAGAAAGATGTGAATGGGCTCTGTAGACTTAAATGCAGAACACACGGTGAGCCACTGTTGCTGACGGAATGATCAGAACAGTGGGTAAGTTTCCTGGGGCAGGTAGGGTCTTAGAAGAGAGCAGCTTTAGCAGAGATTTGAGTAGAAACACATTTCTCAGGCCTTGAAAGCTGGGAGAATGGTTAAATGCTACCCTAAGATTGGGTTGGGCTCTTTCTTCTGGCCCTCCAAACATCAGCTACTCAGTCCAGAGACCTACAAAGGAGACGACCAGGAGAAGAAAAAACGAATGTCCCAGGTAGTGAGCCTGGGGCCTTGGGGTTCCCTTCTCAAATGCCCCACAGAACCAACCCTGCCTCAGCTTTAAGGAATTTCTACACCCACTGCCTTGACCCAAGGTGTCCTAGAGATCAATCTGAAGGATGGCAGAGATAAAGAGAGCGGCATTTCTAAAAAGCTACCTGGTTGGTTTCCTTAACCTCAAATAATTCATCTTGATTAACCCATCCCATTCAGTGTTTCCCAAACTTCAGTTATCCACCAACATCTTTACCATTTCTGCCTTGTCTGCTTATTAACTGTACTATTGTTTACTTATTTTTCTTAAAATAGATCTGCGGGGGGGGGGGGGGGGGGGGGGGTTGGAGTCTCACTCCTTTGCCCAGGCTGGAGTGCAGTGGCACCCACGCTCATGCCCACTCCAGCAACGACCTTCTGGGCTCGAGTGATCCTTCTGTCTCAGCTGGAACTACAGACGCGTGCTACCACGCCCAGCTATTTTTTAATTTTATCATAGAGACGAGGTCTTGCCAAGTTGCACAGGCTGGTCTCGAACTCGCGAACTCAGGCAATCCACTCATCTCGGCATCCCAAAGTGCTGGGATTACAAGCTGAGCCACCGAGCCCAGCCGAGATCTGCCCTTTTTTAAAGGTCCATATATTTATTTCAAAAGGAAACTTGATACAGTGCAGTAGATGGAAAATCAGCCTCTTTCGCCATAAATAGTTCTAGTCAAAGTAAAAACAGCAAAACAAAAGTATGATTAAAGTTTACATGTAGATTCTTATGCTAGCTGGAGGCTCTGAGCCTCAGTCTTGCTTTGTTTTTTAAAAAAATATAGAGATAATCACTTTTCAAGATCTAATGGCACTAAGCTGAGACTTTGACTTTGATGTTCTCAGGACTGCAAGAGAAGTTTGGAAAGGGAGGATTTTTTCCTAAGGGACTGGGAAATGGAAGGAAACTGCTTTCCCTTGGGACAAGACAGGAGCTCCCTGGGAGGAGCTGGGAGGAGTTGGCCTTCATGCATGCTCCCTCTGGTCTCTGCAGTGCCCGGAAACGCCCCATCCCCTACTACCGGCCCAGCCCCTCCTCATCCGGCAGCCTCAGCAGCGCCTCCTCCTGGTACAGCAGCAGCAGCAGCCGCTCGGCCAGCCGCAGCTACTCCCGCAGCCGGAGCCGGAGCCGGAGCCGGAGCCGGGGCCGGGGCCGGAGCCGGAGCCGAAGCCGAAGCCGAAGCCGGAGCCGGAGCAGGACCCGCACTAGCAGCAGCTCCAGCTCCCGCAGCCCCAGCCTGGGCAGCCGGAGCCGGAGCCGGAGCCGGAACCGGACCCGGAGCCGGAGCCGGAGTCGGAGCCGGAGCCGAAGCTACAGCTCAGCAGACAGCTACGCTAGCACAAGGCGCTAAGCCAGGGCCGTCCCTTGAGCCAGCTGCCCATAGGGGTCCCTTGGCTCTGCAAGCTTCCCCCACCACCTGTCCCCCCATGCCTTCTCCTTGATAACGGATACTGAGGGCTCCTGGACCCTGTCCTTCCTGCTCTCCTGGGGAGGAGGAAAAGAGGGTACTGAGACTTCACTCTCTGTGTCAAGCTTCTAGGAGTCTCTACCAGCACCATCCTAGGGCTCAACTCAGGCCTCGGCCTATGGAGATAACCATCCTCTTGTGGCACAGAAAACCCTTAAGGTTTTGCAAGGAGCAGTGGTAAAAAATTGGGACCTGGCCAGGAAAATGTAGAAACAGCTCTTCTCGCCCACTGCTCACAGGGTGCACAAATAGCAGGAGGCCAGAGGTAATTCTGCTCACCCACCCTCAACCTCCCTTTGTCCAGTGTCATGGCTGCACGTGGATGGACTCCCATGTGGGAGGAGGCAAGAGAAGAGACCAAGGACAGTTCCAGTCCAAGATGAAGGGTCAGGCCCTTAACCTCCCCAAACAGGCCAGAGCAAAGGCTGGAAGGCACTTAGGTCCTGGAAGAGGGGATGTAATCAGTAGGGGACATGGACATTTGAGTTGGTGGGAAGTGTCAGGAGATAGGATTTGGATTCTCTGGTTATGCAGATAGATGCAAAAGGGAAGGGATCAGTCTGCTCTCTCCAACATCTCGGCATGGTCAGGAGAGGGAGCCCAGTAAGTCCCAGCTATAGAGAGCACACCACATCGTTTACACAAAACACCTCTTGGCTGTTCACGGGCATCCTGCACCCTACAAGAAAGGAGACAGTGAAACAATCAAGACAGTTTGGTCTCCAGCCCCGTTTCCCAAATTTGCTGCAGCCCCACTGGCTGGCACCAATTTAGTTCCACGGGACCATCTGCTGAACATTCCTCAGTGTCATGGCCGGCTGCCAGCCCCCAGCGCCAGCCAGTCTGGCCTTACCCTCCGGTTGGCGCCTGCTGGCCCCCTCCCCACTGCCCAGACTGCCACACCCTGGATCTTCACCCATGCAGCCTGGCACCTGCCCACCCACCCTTCAGCCTAAGCCACTCCCCTTGCCTCTCAGGAATTTTGCCAGGATGGGACACAGAGGCTCAGGTTTAGAGGGAAACAACCAAATCCAGAGCCCAGGGAAGAGGGCCTGGGATGCTCCATGTCGTGGGCTCCTGCTGGTTTCTGACATTTCTTGTTAGCTTGAGCAAGACCCGTCATCATTTCTGCCCTCACCCCACCTTCCTCCTGCCCAGGACTGGGCAAAGAGGGTAAGTTGATCTCCAATACACAAATACCACCAGCTGCTTCATCCACAGAAGGCGCTGAGAACAGGGAGGTGAGGAATAAGATCCTTAAAATAAACTCTCGGGCATCCCCCTCACCAGCTGCCTGGCTTTCCGGAACCTTGTGGGTGAGTTTCAAGTTTGTGATGGCAACAGCCACCGATAAGGCATGGAGGGAGAGTGGGAGAGGGGACAATGCCCAACTTTTGGATACTTTGGGTTATGGGGAAGCAGGGACCCCAAACATAGTTTATCCCTTCCATCCCAACAAAAACAATTATGTTTTGGTGGGAAGCAGTGACCTCTCCCCCACCCAATCTCTCCCATCATATCAGCCCATGAGGCCAGAGACCGCCAAGCAACCACCCCAAAAGTCCTCCCTCCCTGAGGAGAGGAGCGAGGCCGACCCAGGAAGCAGTGGATGACCTGGCTTTCCCACAAGGGCCTCTGGGTCAGATCTAAGCCCCGCCCACCAAGGCCAACAGATGTCAATGCTGTCACCACAGAAGGCCAGAAAGCAGGTGCCTGGGACAGGCTCAGGTGCCCGAGGTCATGGACTGCCACTGTAAATAACCTTCTTCCCTGCCCAGGAAACCAGACTGGACTCCAGTCTCCCTTCATGAAGACAATTCCCGAAGCCACCAGACCTCCTCAGCAGGCCAGCTGTAAGTGGCCGAGGAGCCTTTCATTCGGACTGCCTTCATTCAGACAACTCTAGGGGACCGTTTTGCCTGAGACTCCTAGCAAATCTTTTTATTTATTTTATTTATTTGTTTATTTATTTATTTATGCGATGACTGTCTCTTTATTTCTCTCTTTCACTGTTAGCAGTATTTAATTATTTATTTATTTATGCGGAGAGGTTTTGTGTGTGTGTGTGTGTGTGTGTGTGTGTGTATGTATGTACAGGTCCGGGGGGACTTCTAAATTATTTGTATGCATCTCCCCCCCTTTTTTTTCCCCTTCTGTCTCTATGGGTGGAATTTGAGAGGCCAGAGGTAGGTGGTCTCCTGGCCTTTTTCCCAAAGGCCTCTAAGCCAGGGACATCCCGGATTTGGCCTGAAAGTACATCAGTTCCAAGGCTCATCATTGAGCCTGATGTGGAGGCGAGTCAGGCTTGTACCCTGTCCTCCGTCTACCTCACTGAGGTATCAAAAAGATGCAAATAGCCAAGAGTCCCATGAGCCAAGGTGCTGAACTGACACAGTTGGAGTCACTGCTTATGTGGGGGTTGAAGTCTAAAACTTGCATGCAAGGCTAAAACTGCACAAAAGTCAGAATTCCTTGCAAAAGACCCTTAGGGAGACACCAGACTGCAGACAGATGGGCTCTTTCTTAGCGGACTGATGAGGCTTCAGTTGAGAACTTAACTAAATCTTTGTCTCATGTTTTGAGGGCCATGGTGGATGAAAATGATGTCTGGTTTAGTACTGGGATCCCACTTGGAACTGGCGAGGTGCATCTTCCCTGACTGAGGAAAGATGTGAATCTTGATCTCACTCTCTTTCCAGGGTACACAGCAGAACTATGCCCTCACTTCTCTGAGCACATCTCCTTGGTTTCAAGTCAGTTACACATGCTTCCACTCCATCTACCTAATTTCTCCCCATCCTCTGAGGTTTGAAGGTTGCCCTGTTCCATCTGCAGTGGACACACACTGCCTTGTGAAGAGGTTAGCTATCCTGGGAGAGATCCACAAACTCAGAAAAAGCCTTTTTCTGTGATCGCTTGCTGTTCCATCAGGGGAAAGCACAAAGCTATTTGTGAAGTTAGGAAGGAAAAAAAAAAGATCAAAGAAAGGAACAGATGCCCTTCCCCTCTCCCCACAAGAAGGTCGTTTCCAAACCCATCCTGGGAAAGTCCAGGATCCAGAGGCCTTTTATCTATCCTGCCTATCTGACCAACTGGCATTGGCTTCTGGCTGCTGGCAGGAGAGAGCTGTTGCTCTTTCCAAAGTCACTGTCCACTGCCTTGCAATTACCAGCTTGTCTGGTCCAGCTTTGGGGTCAGTGAGACTTTTGTAAAATCCCTGGTTGTTCCCCTGACAATGTGACTACCCAGTCCTAACCCAAGTCAAGGAGTACCCCTATCCTGGGGGAAGTTTACAAGAAGGGCTTAAATGCCTCCTGGTGGGAAATCTTGATCTCTCTCTCACTGGGTATGTTTCCTTTACATTTCCTTTATTCCTATCCAAAACCAACAATCCTGTTGGAGAACTAATAACCTTGATTATCCAGAACCCTCCATCCCCAGTATTGCTGTTTCTATATCCACTTCTCCCTCATTACCTTCTGTTTCCAGGAAATAAGGCAGATCTCCTGAAAACTGCTCATGTTGAGGACTTATCTCAAAAGCCAACATCCAAAATGAGAGAGGGATGTGGCTTAAGGTCAAGCAACCTGCATCCCAAACCCTTTGACCTTCCTGCTGTGAATGTGCCCTGGATGAGTGCAACTGGGCAAATTGCTTTCTTTCTCTGGGCCAAAGTTCCTACCTCTGTGACATGGAGTTTTTGAGATTATAATTCAAAATGTTGACCTGAGAGTTAAGAGAGTCACCAAAGACAGAGGGAGCTTTGCCGAGACTCAAAAGGAAAAGGAAAAAAGCCTCAAACATTTTTAGGAAGTTCTCAATCATGAGAGTAAAAACTAAAAGCAAGATTTGAATCCCCTTCAGTTAGTTAGGAAAAGCTCACTCAAAGCCCCCATCTGGAACATTCAGTTTCATTAGGACTTGACCACATTCCTAGCTCTATTTCATCCCTTCTTTGAAGGAAAGTCAGTCTCTCAGAAGCAGAATAAAATTAAGAGGTTAGAAAGACAAGAGGGTCTCGACCTTAGAGAATCTTAGCACGTCATTTGCTCAGACCCATTCTCTTTCCCAAAAGAGTTTGCTTGAAGAGGCCCAAAATCCAGCTGCACCCGAAGGTAAGGAAAACATATTAGATTCCTTCTCAAGCCCAACTCCCATCTTTCCTTCTGCTTTATTCCTTTCCACTCTTCTTTTCTACAAATACTCAGAATAGTCTCATGTGCCTGTGTCTTGCTTTGGTTTCCCCTTTAGCTAATTAAAAAATTTTGTCTTGTAATAAAATCGAAAAACAGGATTTCTCAAAATATGCCTCCTTCCCCATTGGGCAACTGAGTCCAACTGAGAAACTTATACCAGATACAATGTCACTGAGTGACACTTTATTGAAATCTCTTTCTTCTCACTTCTGCACCAGTAAGTCCATGATACTGACACCATTATCACCTCCTTCTGTCTGTGGCTATTGTTTTGGGGTTTTTGTTTTGTTTTTTTGGTGGTGGTTTTGCATTGTAAATACCATGATGGGACACCCCCCCATCAGAACATGGCTTATTTAATAATTTATTTCTTATTTATTGGGCGGTATCAGGAAAGGAGAGGGACCACCTCTTTCCCTGAATCGCTATTAGAAGTTGGTCCATCTACCAGCTCCGGGTGCTGCTGTCTGCAGAAGGGGCATTATTGCCCAGGTAATGAGTGCTAGAATCACCAAGCAAATTGGAATTGACAGAAACGGAGGTTTCAGTCATACAAATTAAGCTGAAATGGAACTAAAACACTGGTTATCTCTGGGAAAACCTCATTTAGATGGAAATTAATTGAGGAATAAAATGCCTGTGCGCACGAACCAACTTGGATTAAAAAGTCACAACTCTTTGAGAAAAAAATTTTTTTAAACTCTTTTCTCTGGCCAAGGAAAGCTATGCCTCATCTTCTAATGAGCTGAGCCAAAGAGACTGGAATGGCATTCCTGTGTGGTTCTCTTGCCTGTGTATCTGTTTAAATGAAATAGAATGGGTCTCTGGCCTCAGTCTCGTCATCTGTAAAATGGGACTTGACTTATGTATTCTCAGCAGGGTGGGGGGGAGGGGAGTTTCACTTTAATGTTGTGGACACCTTACTGTTGGATATATTGTCCCTTGTGTCTTCTGATGACTATAGGTTGAAGGGTGTCAACCAAAGTAGGCAAAAAAAAATGAAAGGGCCTGGACTTCATTTGTAAGGTGAGGTCACAGCAGCTGAGTCTCACAGTCAGATATGGGACACCTCAAGGTTCTATCACCTTGATAACTCTTGTAGCCTGGGTTAAAGCCCTCTATACTTATCTTGAACATCTTTCCAAACTCACTGGCTCAGAGTCATCCCGGGAGAGACCAAGATGCTTTGCCTTGCCCTGGATTCAACCCCTGTTCATTGTCAGGCCATTTTTCAGTACAATCATTCAAATATGCCAGTGTCATAGGTCATATTGCCACTTTTCAGGTGAGGAAACTGAGGCCTGGGAAAGGGAGCTGACATGCCCACGCTCCCATGAGCTCATATCTACTGGACTTCATGTTCCATGTTCCCTTGATAACTCTCTGGGGACCTAGGCTGTAAGAACTTCTCTCTGTGCTGTATCTTTACTCTCCCAATTCTTAGCTATTTCCTCAAGTGATAATTGGCCAAGAACCTAGCAGAGTCCAGGGGACTTGGTGTACCCAAAGGTCATTTCTCTATTTGGGGGCTGGAACTCCCATCTGGAAAATTCCAAACCCAAGGACCCACCACCAGCCCAGCTCAGCCTGATCAGCCAGTTCTGCCCAGAGCGTCCACGCCAGAGGAAGAGAAGCTGCTGTGTCCTCCAGCATCCTGGGGTCCTGTCCTCTGCCCAGTGACACAGCGGCCATGCTTGCTTGATATCTGGTCTCCATAGCTAAGCGTAACCTTCCTTGGGTTTCCTGTTTTACAGCCTGTACGAAAAATGTCTCTGTTCTAATTAAAGGTCCCATGATATGGTGTTCTCATATATGGCCCTGTGTCCTTTGTCTATATGGGGTACCCCAAAGCAGCGAGGAGGGATAAAGACAGGGAACTGGGGAACATTTAGGCAGCACCTTCTGGATACCACACGTGTTCACTTATACAACTTATGTCTTTACTCCTTCAAACAAACCTATAAGTCTTTTGTATTTGGGACACACACACACACACACACACACACACACACACACACACACACCCCATATTAGTAGCATCTATAGAGTTCCTTAAAAGACATTTTCTGAAGTGTTTCATATACACTATCTTAGTCTTCACCACACAAAACCAGCCCTATGAGATAGGCATTAGGATCGCCTAACAAAGAAGGAAACTTGCCCACAGGCCACAGAATCCAGAGTCATTGATAGAATACAGGAGGGCTGACTCCAAACCCCAGGTTGTCAGCTGCTCTGTTCTTCAGTTTGTACAGTGAGTAACTGGTGTTCTTTGGCGGAATTGTTTTTCTCTGAGACCATGGTGGTTGGGAGGAAGTGCAACACAGGGCATAGTTTTTAAAGTCCAGGGACCTAAATTCAAAACTAGACCTTGCCATTACCAGAAGGGAGGCATTGTCTACCCTGTTGGTGCTTGGTTTGCTCATCTGTAAAGTGAGATCACAACAGCTATCTCCCTGGGCCGCTGTAGGAGCTAAATGAGATGGTGGCTTTAAAAAAATGCACAGAAAACCCTCAGTGACCTGAGGCTGAGCGATGGTGCTGAGGTTCCTGTAGATGGCCCCAAGTCCTCAATGTGGAACAACAGAGGCCCTGTAAGGCCCTATGGAAGCCTCTGGAAATGTCCTTAGTGTAGAATTACAGTGTTTCCTTCCCTCAAGAGCAGATGTTGAAAATGGCCACCGGGGCAGGCAGGTGAGGGAAGTGGACAAGGTTAGGGACTGGGAAACCCAATATATAT